GGGGGGGGGGGCAGAAGGAGGCGCGGCGGCTCCTCTCTCCGGGGCTCGGAGTGGCCTCGGGACCCCTCCTCCCCAGCCACTTGCGTGCGTGCTGGTGCCCGGCAGACCCTGGCACCGGGCCTTCTCTTGCCCAGAGATAGGTTTTTCCTTGAAAGTTGGTGAAGAGAGAACGGGGTTTCGTGTGTGCTTGTGAGGGCGGTGGCTCATCCATGTAGCCCAGCATTTTCTTTTGTTCCGAAGCCCCAGGGCTGCCTTGCAGGTAAAGGCCTGGGAAGAGCGGAGCTCCCCACAGTGGCTGCTAGCCTGCCTGGCAGTGTTGGGCCTGGAAGCTGTCAGCATGTTTACGCGGTCTCCCGGGAGGGTGACCCTCTGCCCCCACCCTTTCTGCTTTTGGGGTTCTCTACCAGGTGCTTAGGTGGCCGAGGACCCTCCTGGGAGCTGTAGAGGTGGCGCCCTCTCCAGTCTCAGGCTCGGACGTGACCACAGCATCATCACAAACAGTCAGCTGTCTCCGGCTATGGGCCTGGCTCCCCTGCTGTGGCCTCCCGGAGTTGCTTTCAGTGTGAAGGTCCCTCCACTGGAGGGGGCCAGGCGCCTGTCCTGTCCCTAGTGCTTCGGTGGAGGCGCAGCGCAGGGGCCCAGGGAGAGACAGGGCTGGCAGAAGGCGGGGAGGGCTCCTGGAGCCTGAGCTCTGCCCAGCGTCTTCTGTGAGTCCCTTCCGCAGTGCTCTGTCCTGTGGGAAGCACCGGATGAGCACAAGTCTGATCCCGGGGTGACTGAGCCGAAGGTCTTTGGAGTGTGAGGTGGCGTCTCTGGGTGCACTGAAGGTGCACGCGGGGTTTCTGGTCTCGCCTTGCTGTGCTGTGTCCCTGTGCAGTCTCGGATGTCTGTGAGCCCAGAGGTGGCTTCCTCAGAGCTCCGTCTTGGTTCTTCCTCCAAATGCTGCTCCTGGACAGGCAGAGTCCCAGCCCCCAGTGGGCAGCGTCCCTCCTCTTCTGTGCAGGTGCTTCCCACGTGGAGCGCGACTGGCATTTGCTGCTCACTTTGCCTAGGCACTGTCACCACTCACAAGTGACGTTCCTTACGTTGTGCTGCTGCCCCTCTCCCTGCACAAGCCATGCGTAGTGTGACCGAGTGACGGGCCGAGCTCTCTCCGGCCGGACTCACCCACTGCTCCTGCCCACCCCCGCGAAGCGTGGAGGTTTCAGTGTTAGCAGTGGTCTGGGGTGGACCCCAAACACTACAGGATGCCCCCCAACCCATTTCTCCTCGTGCTTTCCCTTTCTAACAGTATCAGCCGTGTTTAACACTATGAGGTCACCCCATCATTCTCGAAAGTGCAGAATCTCAGCCGATGCCGTATGCAGCATTCCCTCCCCTGGTTTTTTGTTTGCTCATTTCATTTTCTTTTTCTGTAGCTGGTCAGCTCCTAAGGAAGGTCTCAGGGTCGTGGGGGGGGGGGTCACTGCGCTGCTTGCCCCGCCGGAGACAGGCGGCACGTGGTGCTTGGCAGGCGGCTTCCAGGCGCCCTCAAAATCCAACTTCCCCAAGTGCATTACACGTCGGAGTCCACGAGGGGAAAGAAAGCGAGGTGGCTGCCTGAAACCCTGGCCCGCACTTGGGCAGTTACTCGGCAGGCTTCGCGTTTGCCCCGAGCGCCAGCCTCCTGGGTGTGTCCCGATCTGGGGCACACCGAGCCCTTCCCTGGGGTAAACTCCCGACAGGAGGTCCGAGGAGGGGAGTTGGAGATGGGCCTGGGAAGTGGCTGCTGTTAGCCGTGTCTTTGGCTTAAATCAAGGCGATGGGGGAAAGCTGCTTTCTTTCAGTGGTCAGTGGAACCAGGTGGCTCTGTTGTAAGCCCCAGAGTGTGGCTGCCGGGAGGGGAGCGCTGGTGTGCAGCGAGGCTGTGTGACGGGCCGGTGATGCGCCCGGTGGACGGCTGTTTCCAGCATGGTGTGTGTAGAGATGTGGGTTGTGCCAGAGCCTGTAGATCTCATGTTGGGTTGTGCACACGGATCATGTGTTAAGCTTTTCTTTTTCAATAAATGAATTTTATTTTGTATTTTTGAGATGTTGCTGTCTGTGTCTTCATTTTCACTTAAGTCCTTCAGTGCCTGTCATCCCAGCAGTCTGGGAAGCTGAGGTGGGAGGATCACAAGTTAGAGCCCAGCCTGGAAGACTTAACAACGTAGTGAGATCCTGCATCAAAAATAAAAAGTTAGAAAAGGGCTGAGGGGGCAGGGATTTAGCTCAGTGGTGCTGCCCACCTGCCTCACAAACAAGGACCTGAATTCAATCCCTGGTACGGGGGCGGGGAGGGGCAGGCAAGAGCATAGCTCAGTGCAAGGACCCTGGGGGCCAGTCCCCAGTGGCACAGAAAAATAAAGTACAGTGGATCCTCCAGCCAACTTGACTTACAGCCAGCTCTTCAGAATTGAACAAGTTCATAAGGGTCCATTGTACTGTAATTCAGATTTCTTTACTAGATCTTAGTTTAAAATATTTCTAGCTTAATGCCAGGTTTAGACAGGAGGAGCGTGAAAGATAGAACCATCTATGGAATCAAGAGGTGCCCAAGAAAAGGACCAGGAAAAAATTTTCTGTTACACAATCCTGCCCGCCATAAATCTTGCTTTCTTGAGTAGGAATTTTCAGTCCTCTCTGTGGGTCATAGCTGTGAAGGTCAGTTTCATGGGTCAGGCTGGTGGCTCAGCCACTGGTTTAGGTGTTGCTGAGAAGGTGCTTTGGAAATGCGGTTGACCTCTGCAGTCTTTTGCCTTTGCCTAAAACTTGACCTTCCTCATGTGCATGGGCCTCGTGGGGGTGTGGCTCAGTGCTGCCTGGCGAGGGCAGGGTCCTGAGTTCGATTCCCACTACCAAAAAATAAAAAAATAAAAAAGCAAATGGCTTCATCTGACCGCCTGGATATCTTCAGCCTGAGGTGTCTCAGAAGAAACTGGGTCTCAGGACCACCACAACGGCTTGTGCCTTAGTTTCCAGGCTGCAGGTCCTGCCCTGTAAACTTCAGATTTTCTGTCTCCACGGTCATATAAGCAGTTCCTAGGAGCCTGTTTTGTTTTATGCAAACGCACGCATGGGCTGGGGGGACTGACACCAAGTAGGACGGCTACTATGCCACTGCTAATACACCTACCGGACCACGTTGTTAAGGGAGTCCACTGTTGGCCTTGGCTGAAGCGTGGTGCGCGACTGTGCGCGTGTGCATGGTGTGTGTGCACGCGTGCGTTCCTCTACCGACCCGGCTCAGAGCTGGCTCCCGATCTCCCGCACGGCGCCCTCTTCGCGTTCGCCCCCCGTGGGTGAGACAGTTGCCTGTCTGAGAGCCTCAGGTTCTGCTAATCCCGTCCGGGTCTGGGCCCTGGGCGTGTCCTCCCGTGGGCCTCAGGTCGCGATGACCTCGCTGGCTTCGCGGGGCTCCTCCTCCGCCTCTTTCTCCCCGGAGCCCGAGGCCACTCTCCCAGGTGCTGACCGCGTCTGCTTCGGCGCAGCCCGCG